TTTTTTTTGAAGAAGAAAGCAATAGACTTTGAGTCTCATTCCCAACTGCCGATCAAGGAAGTAGTTTGCTCTTCTTTTCTGTCAGCCCTAAATCCCCAATTCACAGCTCTCGCCGATCTCTTTGTTTCTCGTCATAAGGTACAGCAAATTCATAAATCTCCACCTCCGTATTCAAAATATTTCTTGTATAAATTACCACTTTTCTCTGATTTAAGCTGGTGTTCGATTGAATTTGATCTCAATTAATCCACATTTTATGTCTTTATAGAGCCGATTATATATCTATGTAGTTCAATTTAGAATTTATTTTTATCTAGGAGATGTAGGGTATACAAAATTTGAGCTTGGAAATATTAGGTGGTTGTGCATTTTAGCTGTTGTGGTCGACGAGGCATGCGTTGGCTTTTTAGCAGTCTAAATTGTACGATTAAGTGGGTGAATTATGATTTTCAAAGCTTATAACAAATATATTGTGCATAAACAGACTTTTTCATCCACTGTAAGTACACAGCCTGTGTGTATGAGTTCACGACTATTAGTTTTGAAGTTTATTGTAGTTGCAAGTCGTGGGTTTTTAAGGAAACCAAAACTTTGGTATTTGGTAATTAGCAAGAGGGTATGCTTTGCAATGCTTATGTAGATGATTTTTTCACATTGCATTTTGCAGGTCTGTTGAGTGAGCTTTAAGGAACTGGGTTTTTATCCTGATCAGTATGGTAAGGTTTCATGAACAGCGTACCGTTACTGCAGTCATTGTGTTCTTGTGGTTTGTCTGGGTATAATTGCCATGAAATCTTCATAGTATTGATTTGGTGCATTTCCAATTTGTCTCAGAATTACTTAATCGGAGCTTTCAAACCATCCTGCAACATTTCAATCACATTTTCTGATGCAAAAACTCGGAAGCAGGTAATCTATCTGTAAAGAATAAATTACAAAAACAAATTATGGATGCCACCTATTTCATCTGTGGAATTATTAAATTTAAATTTATTATCCCAAGTGCAATTACACGAGAATTGGTAAGTTCAATTTGCTTTTCCCCCTAATCTATGATCTGTTCCTGCAGGTCCCCTTAAAGAAGGAAAGTGGCCAAGCAGTGTTGGTCCCACTTTTTCAAAGTCAAGAAAACATTTCTGGGAAGGTATATTGTTTGATCACATTGTTTTAAATGTTAAGCATTATAGTATGCAAAGGTAAACATTTTGGAAATTGATTTAGCCTTAGCCAATAAAGATCATCTATTTAGAGATCTTCTTTCCTTGTCGTTTTCAGATTTCTATAGAACCAATTCAAGGAAAGAAGGTTGAACACAATGGAGTCAAAGTTGAGCTCCTCGGGCAAATCGGTATTTCTTTTTCTTTTCTGTTGATAATTTTTTGTGCTGCATTTGTCATGATTTGGGCTGACGAGTTTCAATGTGAAAATAATAGTATGAGATTTAATTTTTGGATGATTACATGCTAATCTACCAGCTCCTTCCTGTAAATGTTGTTCCTTACTTCCTGGTCAATAACAGTTCCCAGGACTATTGTTTCTTACCCCTTAAAACGAGCACTCTAATAAAACTTAATTCATGTTGCAGAGATGTACTTTGACAGAGGCAACTTTTATGACTTTACTTCCCTCGGTGAGTATGTTTTGTTTTCATTCTGTTAGCTTTGGACAGTTTCTACTCATTTTTTCAAGTACTGATTTTGGTTCATTGTTTTTAATTACCACCAATCCCTTTCCGTTAGAGAGTAAGAAAGAAAAAAGTAACTATCATTTTGAGCTTCCAAATTTTGATATGATATCCATCACTATAACCTGTCTATTTATCATTTTACTGAAAAAAGAAAAGTGCTGTGTTCCATTTAATTGGCTTTAAATTTGCAAGTTTTCCAACTCCAACTTTTTCTTGGATGCTCTAATTGTATTGCTCTTGTCAACAGTTCGTGAACTTGATGTTCCTGGAGAGTTATATGAGAAGAAAACGTATCCTTTTGAGTTTTCTACAGTTGAAATGCCATATGAGACTTACAACGGGGTGAATGTGAGACTTAGGTAAGTCTCAGAACGTTAAAAATATTTCCTTTTCATTTTACCTTTATCTTTTAAAATTAAGTATATTCTACATTCATGAAAGATCGAATTGTTCAGAATGCCTGATTACCTTTTAGACATGGTTATGTACAACACTAGTGTAGATGAAAAACATGATGTTGATAGTAATAATAGTTCATGCCATGACATATTGTAAATGTGCTCTTTCTAGGTATGTTCTGAAAGTGACAGTTAGTCGTGGTTATGCTGGTAGCATAGTGGAATACCAGGATTTTGTGGTACTCTCTCTCTCTCTCTCTCTCTTGGATTGCCAGAATTTGTGAACATTATTGTTCAGCATGCATTGACAACCATTACTTAGCTAGAATTCTCATAGTCTATGTTGATTTCATTCTGTGCTTCAGGTTCGCAACTATTCCCCACCTCCTTCTATTAACAATAGCATCAAGGTGAGACAATATTCTACTCTTTGATGACCATGAGAACATGGTTATCATTCATAGGAATAAGGAATGTAGTAACAAATAAGAACTGCTTATCGATTATAAAAAAAGTTTGCTTCCATTCACCCAACAGTTTTATTCCATTTTATGTTGAATCTATCTACTGTGCTGCAACAGCTAGCCCCATTGTTAATCCTCCCTGAATGAATCTTTCTTATAATTTTATTGCCTTTGCAGATGGAAGTGGGAATCGAGGATTGTCTGCACATTGAGTTTGAGTACAACAAGAGCAAGTAAGTTAAAAGCTATTTCATGACCAGGGCTGTCTGTTTATTGTTACTGGTTTACATGCCCGAGATGAAATCCGGAAACAATGGTTGTTTCTGAATGTTGAGTTTCATTGCCTTTCCAACCATAGCCTGAGCATACTTGTCTTGGGTGGGTTTGTACAAGGAGAACTTCATGCCTAGAGTGTAATAAATCCGAAAAATGATATGTCTATCTAGTTAAAACAACAGAGAACAATTTGGCTCTAATTGTTGGTGTGTTGAACAGGTACCATTTGAAAGATGTTATTATTGGCAAGATATACTTCCTTCTTGTAAGAATCAAAATAAAGAATATGGATCTGGAGATCAGGCGTCGAGAGTCAACAGGGTCAGGGCCTAGTACCCATGTTGAGACAGAGACACTTGCTAAGTTTGAGTTGATGGATGGTGCTCCAGTCAGAGGTATATGCTTATAACTCTTCTGCTTTCTTATATATTCGGATATACAGGTGATTGATGGCTGCAACGTAACCATGCTGTAAGTGTAATTCAAAAATATATGACATTTGAATTTTTTGATGAAATTTGTAATTTCAATGGGGATGGTCAGGTAAGATGTGATTGAAGTTTCAGGAAAACAGTTTATTATTTCCTAAACTTGCTGCATTTCTTCAACTGTCCATGGATGAATGGCTTACATTCATGTACTTGAATTTTTCAGGTGAATCAATTCCTATTAGATTGTTTCTTAGCCCTTACGAACTGACACCAACACATCGCAACATCAATAACAAATTCAGCGTGAAGTATTATTTGAATCTTGTTCTGGTTGATGAAGAGGACAGACGGTATTTCAAGCAGCAAGAGATCACTATATACAGGCTTCAGGAGACTTCATGATCACTCATCTCGCATGCTATCTCCATTTGATCCATTTGATATGGAAAAGAAGATAAATTTTCTCATGGCATCTTGTAAAGCTTAGAAATTTACGATCTTATCGTGCTACAATGACTTGCTATTCTTGCTGAGTTGCAACTTTGATATGGGATTGTCGCGAGTTATGTACATGGGCGGTGGAAAGGACAAGATCTCCTGTTGCTGTGATGATACGTCATGTAACAAGCATCCTGTATCTTACTCTGTGAATTCGTTGGAGAAAATAAACCCCTCGGTTTGATAAAAATTATCCATGCTTTGTATGAACTGTGAGTCTGCTGTTTTCATTATTGTAATTTCTTTGATGGAATTCTGCTGTTTATTGAAAAAGAGAAACGATGAAGACGCATATCTTCGTGATTTCCTTTTCTCTCTCTCTTTTTTTTTTCTCGGGTGTTTACGCTCATTTGGTTAATCAATGCATCCCTGGTAATTAAATTCATCAATATTCCCTTTTGGTAACAGAACCGTATCGTCCACAGGGCAGTCATTAGCAAGACAATATTTTGGTGGATGGAAATCGGAAACAAAAATTCAGAATATTAACGGATATTTGTTATATTTGAATGTAACACTAAGAGCATCTCCAAAGAGTCTCCAACTTTTAGTCAAATTTTAGCTAAAATAGTTAGAAAGCCATTATAGCAAACTACTTAGAGCATCTCTAAGGGAGATGTCAAATGCAAAATATTAAATTTGAATTTAATGGCTTATGTGGCAATTTGACACTTTGGAAACAATTTATCTTCAACTGAAATGCCAAATATTATATTTTTTAATTATATTTTTAGAAGTAAATCAGATCCATATCATGCATTAAGTTTTTAAAAAGAGTAAATGCTAGTGGGGTCTATGACTAAAAAAATATTAAAATAAAATCAAGCTTTTTTATATGTTATTTTTGACATATCTCTTCCAGCCTTCAAATACATATAGTATACGATTTGACTATTTAATTGGAGCAACTTTAACCTTCAATTTTTGTCATTTCATGTCCATGTGGCAATTTGACATATCGGTTGGAAATGCTCAAAGTAGTTTCCTCCATGTTCTCTACTTTGGCTAATGTCTAATATTTTACTATTTCTCTCTCCTCCTCTCTAAATTAAAAGCTCATTAAAAAAAAATTAAAAAGTAAGAGGGAAGAGAAGGTTGTGCCTAGGGAGAGAGAAGATGAAGAAATGGAGAACCCCCCATTTCTTCCCTCCTCTCCAAATGTAGAGAGCCACCAAACTCAAATAGGGAGTTCTCCAAAATAGAGAGCTAGATATCAAGTCTGCTGGAGCTGCATTTTGCCATCATTCTAGTCAAAATGGCTAAGGATCAGAGTATAGCAACTCTGCTGGAGATGCTTTAAGTTATTGCTGATATTTTCATTACAAGAACATTCAAAATTCCACATGGAAACCTTTTCAATTAAGAGATTTGCATCAGAATTCACAAGTGCTGTTAGTTAGGCAAAGAAATCATCCGCACGCACTCACTCATCTATGGACAAAACAAAGGCCACCTTTGAAGCATGGTCTTCCTTCCAAACCACCACTTTACTCTTCTTCTTCTTCTTCAACTGTTGGCAGGCCCTCCTTGAACCAGGCGTAAAGCCCTCCTTCTAAGTGGAACACATTGGTATAACCGTTGAGGACAAGCAAGTAGGCTGCTATCAGTGATCTGTAGGAAGCGCAGTGTGATGTAATGTAAAACTTGATGAAGAGGGAATGAAATGGAAGTCTCAAGGGAAAAGAAATTTAAACTGAATCACCTTGACTGTTGACCTTCTGGGAGATTTTGGGTTGGTCTCATTGTGCCCCCGGCGGCACAAGCCACTATGATCTTTGCCTTCTTATCAAGTTGTGATTCCACACCTGTTGTCACATACCAAACATTTGGTGTTTCCATATCTGTAGAAGTTGTCTAAAGACAAAGCAACAATTGAAAGCATAATACGGGCATTGATTTATGTATATATACTTTGTATGAACTCAGGGTTCTCTTCTGTGCCAGCAAAGATGCCAAAGAATGCAAATGCAGCACGCCTGGCAATGTCCCATGCTGTCCACTCCTTTATAAGCCTGTATATTTGCACGTTAATAGCACCCGGGGGATGAGCCTACATGCACCAGAAACATTCATTTCTCTGGTAATTAGCCTACTGATACTGAAATCGCCAGCAGGAAGATTAGAAATGCAATGACTTGGGGAGCAGAGCAGAGCAGACAACCTCTTTAAATTCTGCTTCAGGCCGGACATCGAGAATCACGAATTTGTTTTCTTTTTGAAGTCGCAGAGCTTCTTTTACATCCACACTCCTTACCTGCAAATTGTAAATATTTTGGAGTTAGCAAACGAGATTGCTTCTACGCCTTGTAGGGGCCAAGGCAATACATGCACTGTTTCCTTCGTGAATCTTTACTCGTGTTCCCTTTATAGATGATGCTCTTTCCAGTCTTCTTGTGTTCCCTTGAAAATTAGTTGGAGAGTTGGGAACTGAACATTTGCTTGCACAAATAAAACCATAGCAAATAAACAATGAAAAGTCTCTTGTTCCATCCAGCTACTTTGATAGATTTGAAACTAGTGCTTAGAATTCTACTTTTGTATTTCTTTGATTGAACTCTATCTGTTTCAGTTTTGGCTCTTCTGTTGAGGCTGGTCTGTGTGTGTGTGAGAGAGTGAGAGAGAGAGAGAGAGAGAGAGAGAGAGAGAGAGAGAGAGAGATGGAGGTGCACCTTGTTCTGCAGCAGAACTTCCCTCTTAGTCTTCCACTCCTCTTCAGCTAACCTCTCCAAAAGAAACCAAGTGAGAGTGGATTCATTTAAGAGATGAAGATATACATATAGATAAGGAAGTAGTTGTGATATTAGAAGAGTTAGTTAGTTATACGGTACCTGGCGATTTGACTTGTTTTGTTGCTGCACTGCGGATTTTGAGGCCCCGTGATGACAACCGTTGCCTTGTGGAGGAGGATCTTACTGATCTCTCCGTAAGCCAGCAGCAAGTGTGATTATTATGTTGGCACTGCTTTGAAGCCAACCCCATTGCTGAAGATGCAGATGAGTGTAGGCTGATCGAAGTAAGAGAAGCAGCAGCCATTTATGAAGTTATATATATATATATATATATATATATATATATATATATATATATATGCTTTCAAAACCAAAGCAAGAAATTTAATCAGCTAATCTAGGGCTCTAGCTAGCTCTTGAACTGAATGTTCAGAATGATGTTTGATCAATATAGCATATAGATCATTAGGTTGTGCTGAAACAATAGAACAATTGGAAGTGCTGTCTGTGCTTGCTCTGCTTTTATTTGATTGGTTTGAGATATTTTGAGTGCTTGATTTCAAAGTCACTGGGCCATGGATATTTTGCAATTTTATCTCTCCCAGAATCTGAGTTTGTGGTTCTGGATATCTATTTGAACTTCTTTCATCCTTTACCTCCTTTGTCTTGTCCTTTTATTGGACCATACCCAAAACCATAAATCCTCCTCCTTCCAACCTGGCTCTCATTACCTTTTATCCTTTATTCTTTTTCAGTCTGATTTAATTTTGCTCATCACTTTAAATTATGTCTATTATAATTTTGATATTTAATTTTGTAGCATATGTGCTATTTGTCAATTTATCATTAACTTGTGGTTAAGTGCGCTTGCACTAACTCCTAGTGGTCTTGGGTTCGAAGGTTGGTACCACATTCTCAACAATTTATCATTAAATTAAAGTACCAAGTCAGCTGTCTGAGCATTAATTAGCACATGACTGGTAAATTGAAAGTAGTCAAAATAATTTTGGACCGTTAAATGGTTGTCTCAGATCCAATTTACGCAACCGTTTGATTTTGATTTGGGTGCTGCTGCTGCTGTTTCTCTTGAATCACTCACTCCCATCCCACCACACTGCTATCTATGTTCCCACCTTAAGAGAACCACCGACACCAACAAATACTCCATCACGCAACTAGATGTCGCCACGTGTCATATCGGTGCAATTTGGCCTTTATAAATTACATACCGCGTCCTCCAAGTTTCTCTCTTCTGCAGTCTTACCCTTGGGCTTATCCTACACTCGCACTCTTGCCTGCTACAACTTCAGAGTCAACACACTTTTACATCACACAAAAGTCAAAAGTACAACCATACGATGCACGGTTCATAAATTGTAGAAACACAAGTTGATATACACAGGATTGAAGCCCCAACTTCTCCTTCTACTTGTTCTCATTCTGTTTATATATAATACAATCCATCTCTCCTTCACGTACCTTTAATTATCACTCCCTCTCCCTCTCCCTCTCCCTCTCCTTCTCTTTAGAGTGCAGCGAGTAACAATGGAGGTCTTCTACTACATGGTGTTTGGGATATTGGGGGTGGTGGTGGCAGCGACGGAGCTCAGCAAGAGCAACAAAGACCGAATCAATACGTCGTCAACTTTTAATGGCTTCAAGAACAATTACCTTTTCGTTTACTCTCTCATGATGGGTAAACCCGCTAGATCTCACCTGAATATCATCTCTATCAATGTGAATATGTTTAAAACGTATCTGTGCAAATGTATGTCTCTAGATTTGCTGAATTTTGATCCGATCTGATGGTGTTAGTAAGTTTTCTTAGAGTTCCCAAGTGGAATCTAAAGTAACCATTTGTGAGATCTGTGTATTCAGTCTGCTTTCTGATAGTTTTTATTGATTTGTACATGTTTTAGATAAGAATTTTGGACTTTCTTTATTGCTTTTCTCAAAGAAAAATGATGGTGGCGTTGCTTTCATTTTAGCTATTTTCTTTTTGAATTGGTGAGTGGGAATTTGGATCTGGGCTGCATATGGTTGTAATGGCTTTACATATTGAGACATTAGTCTATCTATTGCCGCAGCTGAATTCTTGTTACTTAATGAATGAAATATTTGTTGTCACAGTCAGTAGATGATATGCGCATCATATCTTGATTGCGTTTGGTACTTCAAAAAAAAATTACATTACTTTTTCAATTTGAGTGAATTTTGCTAATTATGTTCGAACTTCTCTAATTGAATGAAACTATGGTCTAAATTACTGACAAATTAATGTTTATGTGCCAATAGCCGGGGACTGGTTGCAGGGTCCTTATGTTTACTACCTGTACAGTACATATGGATATGGAAAAGGCGACATTGGACAGCTATTCATTGCCGGTTTTGGCTCCTCCATGTTGTTTGGAACAATTGTTGGATCTCTGGCAGACAAACAGTGAGTTTTCCACTCTGATCTCTGTTTAATGGTTTCATGCTTGTTAGATATTGATAGCATTTGTTAGCTGATGATGTCTGTAATTTAGGGGCCGAAAGAGGGCATGCGTGACTTATTGTATAACTTACATACTGAGCTGCATCACCAAGCATTCTCCTCAATACAAGATTTTGATGTTGGGTCGTATTTTGGGAGGTATTGCCACATCACTTCTATTTTCAGCATTTGAATCATGGCTTGTTGCAGAACACAACAAGGTAAGGGGTCATTGCTTTGCCCACTCGTTATTTTTTTTGAATTTTTCACTCACATATTCACCCTAGATGTATAGTTTCAGTGAATATGGTCTCTTTGTCTTTAAAGGGTACTATTAGCATGCAGGTTAGCTTAAATAGAAAAGACTTGCTTGCTTGGGGTGCAAATTTTGTTGTCGTTGTATTCTATGTGGATGTCATTTTTGTTTTTGTTTTTTCCCACATAGGCAATGAGTTTGATAATGATGTAAGAGTTAGTCAGTCATTTGACTAAGCATTTTTCCCTTGGTTGGGGTGTGGACTGTGTAAAATTGTTTTGTTCTTGGAATGTTACCCCCCTTGTATCAGTAAATCATACATGTGATGTTCCTCTTGACTGTGCAGAGAGGTTTTGAACAACAATGGTTGTCAATAACATTCTCAAAGGCAATATTTCTTGGCAATGGTGTTGTTGCTATCTTGGCTGGGTTGCTTGGAAATACGCTTGTTGATGCACTGGCTCTTGGGCCTGTGGCACCCTTCGACGCTGCTTCGTGCTTTCTCACAATCGGAATGTTCGTAATTCTATTCACATGGACAGAGAACTATGGAGATCCTTCAGAGAACAAGGATTTGCTTACCCAATTCCGGGGTGCTGCTGTGGCCATTGCTTCTGGTAGAGTCCTAACTATATACTTTAAGATATAATTTTTGGATGATAAATTGTGTATGCTTAATTTAATGGTAGACTGTGGTGATTGTTTCTACATGACACGTGCTTTTGGTCTGGATTCATCTTGTTTACTAATTGTTTTCTCTTTTTTTTTTTTTCCAAACTTTCCTTAGAATAGCCATGTACCATGTGGAAAGGGTGATGGGCTTGCACAGAGATTACCTTGTCTTTATTTTGTTCTTCAACATTCTGTTGGTTTCAGTAAACTTTTCCTTTTTTCTTTTCTTTGAATAGTTATTGTGGTTTGATCCCTATACTAAATCCTTTCTGATCCCTTCACCCCAATAAAAGGAAGTATAAATAACCATTATCCTCTAATCCATTACGGTGATGTTTATATAGATATAGATATGACCGACCATGAGGGGCTGTAAAGCTCTGACCAGCCACAATCAGTTCATGATTGTCAATTTTTGTCAACCTCGTAGTCTATTTTTCTGTTACCTTGAAAGAATTTTCCTTTTGTTTTGTTTTTCATTTTCTTTTTATCCTTGCTCTATAAGTTATGTGTTTCCTCCTCATTTTGTATTATATTTTGTGTGGTTTAGATGAGAAAATTGCATTACTGGGTGCAATACAGTCTCTGTTTGAAGGTTCTATGTATACCTTTGTTTTCCTCTGGACCCCTGCCTTGAGCCCAAATGAAGAGGATATTCCACATGGCTTTATTTTTGCCACATTCATGTTGTCTTCGATGTTTGGAAGCTCCCTTGCATCTCGGTTGATGGCTCGCCAAGCACCCAGAGTAGAGAGCTATATGCAGATTGTCTTTGCTGTCTCAGCTGCTTCTCTTTTGCTTCCCATTGTGACCAGTGTATGTTATGGATTCCTGTGTATTTTTTTCTTAATGACTGGTTTCGCGCTGTTCTCAAACTTTGCTAATTTTAAACAGTTCTTGGTAGCACCTACGAAGGAGAAAGGAGGGAGCATCTCTTTTGCAGGTTGTATCCAGCTTCTTGGGTTCTGTGCCTTTGAGGCTTGTGTAGGACTATTCTGGCCATCCATTATGAAGATGAGATCCCAGTACATTCCTGAGGAGGCCAGGAGCACCATCATGAACTTCTTCCGTATTCCTCTCAACATCTTTGTCTGCATTGTGCTGTATAATGTATGTTACAATTCCTGACTTCAAAATGCATTAGACCTGGGAATGTGGGGCGCCCTTAGTTTTGTGCTGATATAACCTTAAGTAAATTTGAAACCAGTTAAACTCAAATTTCAAAACCAGTTTATCAGAGTACCTTAGAAATAAGATGTTATGAGAGCATGCTCAGTTAAGACCCAGTCAATACCATTAGCAAGGCTTTGTGCATATTATTGACTATGGAGCTTGTGGACGCGGCAGGAAATGTTCTACCCAAAAAGAGAAAAGAGAAACAAGAGAATGTGATTGTGTCTCTTTCTTTTCTGCCTCTTCTGTCACTAACTAATTGGTTTTGTTTGTCTTTGAAGGTTGATGCATTTCCGATGACTGTTATGTTTGGTATGTGCTCGATTTTCCTCTTTGTAGCATGTCTCTTGCAGAGGCGCCTCATGGCAATTGCAGACAAGCCTAGTAAGTCCAATTTTCACCTCATAATCTTTGACGCCTCTATCTGGCACTAAAAGCAAATTGTTTGAGTCTTATATATCCATGTAGTGAATATCATCTAAAGATCATGTCTCTAGAGTTTTAACTACTGTAATAAAAATCAAAATGATACGTACATTGAATCCATGGGTCATACATAACCTCATCCTAGGCAAACCTCCTACATATATATTGACTTAGATCATCCAACACCCTATTTCTTGGTGCTTATGGTTGGAAATAACTTGCTTCTGTCAACAGAGACTGAAGATTGGGTAGCAATGAAGGAAAGGGGCAGCGAGGCAGAGCCATTGAACATATAAATGATTCTGAGCTGACGGACCACCACACTTGAGAGGTTGAAGACAACTTCAATATACTGGTAAAGTTCCTGTTAACTAAGAATGTATTCGATTTCAAAAAGTGAAGGTTGCAATGTATAAGGACAACTCTAGTCTGCACAGCAAAGATGGGGAAGAAGAAGGGTCGGTTGAACTTCTGTAATTGTTTTTGGTTGTCAAGTCATTACGGTAGTGAATTAGTTATTGCAAAATTTTCGGCGAAGTAATCATCTCTTCTTGTAACGCCATTGTTATTCTTTTTACAGCATCCATAGCCTATATGTTTCTTCATTACAATTTAAGTGAAACTGTACCTACGATTAGCTAATGCAATTTTGTTTTATGATCTTTATACAAATTGGTCCCAGTAGATTCGATTCAGTGCTCGAATGCTTTTAAATTTTATGTTATACCCTATTTCTTGTGGAAGGCACTTAAAAATTGGTTCTTGCATTCCTAGAGATCGAGTTACCGTAAGTGGCTTTTAGGCTTCTCGAAAAAGAAATAAATAGAAGGGTTAGAAATTGCAAATAACATTCGGCGCGTGGCTTGCACTTCTACCGCGAAAATCTAAATTTTTAAAGTTTTAGCGACCGGAACAAGACAATTGAGCCGCCTGGGCAGTGGGCACAATTGGTCCATACGCTTACGTCTGCATTTACCCAATTAATATAAGCAAAAAAATTAATTGAATTCAAAATTGCATTGATAAGCTTGTTCTCGAGATCAGCTGATCACGAAAGAATGCTATGTATATATATATATACACTATTTTCAGTCGGTTCAAGATATATATTTATAGAGATTTAAAGCGTATAGCCGAGCGGCTATACTATATTTTTTTTTAAGACTTTCCCAAACTCACAGGCACTACACTACACTACACTATGCGGCTACACTTACTAAAACAAAGATAATTAGCTAAGAACTGGGAACTGAAACAGTAATGACCATAATACAAAGAGAAACACATATCACACCAGACACAGACATACCCCATCTTCTTTTCTTCTTTGCCAAGCTTTTGCCTCCTACACAAACACAGACGTCAAATATAAGTTTACTTGCTCACATGTAGACGCATACTTAAGAGAAACTGTTATGAAGAAGAAATATGATAATAAAAAGATAATCATTCCCATAACATTTGAATATGGTTTTTGTTGACATTGACACTCTAGGGCGGTATCCAACATCATATCTCCCCCATAGAGGAAATGGGTGGTATAATGTAAATTCCTTTCCAGATACTGGAAGCAGTGCAAGGAGAATCCGCCTTTTCCTATAAAGACCTTAAAAATGAAACCAGAATGAATTACCCACTCAAAACATAACATATTAGATGCCACCCCAATCTGACATATTATATTGCTAAAAAGCAAACAAAGATGAAGATGTGAGCAGAGAAGCCTCACTTCCTAAAGCAAGCATTCTCAGTTTCCTAAATAGGCAATCACCTAGACTAAAATTCAATCATACACGCTTCTTACCAAACTTGACTAAAATGGTTTTTAAATAAGGAATTAACATGCACATGCATATTATGAAGAGAGAGAGAGAGAGAGAGAGAGACCTGAATCCTTTTCCTTGATAGTTTTCCTTAGGTCGTCCATCCTGCAACGACAACAAACTACCTCAGCTGGGGTAACACTCCGATGCAAAGCAGCCATGGTTAAGAAAAGGAAAAATTAGCCAGAATTGTTGTTTGCAAACCAGATTAACCTTCTTCTTAGAATCAGTTTGGCGTGACTTCTGGCCAGAAACTGGAAAACATCAACAGTTTTCACTGTTCTGAGTATTCAGATACCAATATATTCATAATAAGAAAACTAGTTGGGAAAATAGCAACCTTTTGGAGATGCAGGTTTCCTTGGATTTCTTGGTGTTTCATGAACCTTTGAAGAGGGAAGCAGTACTTGACTTTGCATATTGGAGTCCACTTTCTGTATGAAATTTAGAAATTTCATACCATAGTAAGCATTAAGCAGAGTTGAAGGCAAAATGGCAATGCATGGTGCGTTATTTTCTTTTCATATGTCCAAGAAACTCAGAGAGGAAGCCCACCCTGACCAGGTGTTTCATTTTGGTTTTCAGTTTCAGGCTTCTTAATAGTCCTGAAACATACCATAGCTACATAACATAAAGTTCCCACGAGTTTCTCCACTTTCTATGAGAGTCCTCCACAGATGTAATCACTGCAAAGGCAGAATGGAATTGTTTCTTCAATTTAGCTTCTGACACAGAGGACTCCTGATTTTGTTTGGGAATTTGAGCTCCTTTCACAGAATCCTCATTATCAATGTCAACGTCTCCAAAGCTGAGATTTCAGTCTGCATCTACCAGTTAAGGGAATGAATCAAGGTATAGCCAACTGAGATGGAAGGTTGATGTAATGAATGTATGGTAAACCCAAGTTCAAATTACAAAATAGCTGGTGGGTACATACAAAAGTAACATTTTAATGTCGGAATTCACTAAATTAAGACAAATATTAGGATATTCCCACTAGCATGCTTCCCGGATGATGAATCAAGTCCCACAATGTTTTCATCTTCTCCTTCGCTTAAGTAAGTATCGCTTCCAAAAGAATCCAAAACTGTACCAACAAAAATGTCAGAGATAAATGGAAAGGTAAGCATGGTGCATCATCTACAATTAATCGGTGACAAAACGAGAGTTCACTGAAGCATGTGTGGACACATCACAGGAAAATGTGTGCCTTCTGGACGATCAACAAGCACTCTCGATTCTTTTATTATTCTTCAGCAAAAAGAAAATATATCAAAATGGTTAATTATCTATGATAATCTAACTAAAGGTAGCACAACATATCATGGATATAATCGTCTAATAGTTTACATATTTGGGGAATGTTCTTCTACTTTTGTAGTTTCATTTTTATGATCACTTTGCTTGTTTGCAGATGTTGAACCTGCACCACCTTTAAAGTCCTATTCTGCGTGTTGTCCCTGAAACCAACAAATTCCTGAGAGTGGATCATCAAAAAATGATATTTACATTCTATCAAAAAATGATCTGTTTAAAGGAAATATGAACAGAAACTAACCTCAGTAAGTTCCTTAGGGAAATCAAGTTGGGCTTCTTCAGGGTTCTCAGCTTGTGTCCCAATCCACCAAGCATTGGAAAATACGATATGGGACATGAAAAGCTAATGCTGATATATATGCATAAAAAATGCTTTGAGAAGCTCAGTTTCATATAACATGAACGACCATAGACAAACAAAATGAAAGATGTGGATTTGTTGGAAAGGGGCCGCAAAATGGCGTTACCACACTCTGTAAGAAGAACAAGAAGAAGATTCTAGGTGGAAGTTGTATGAAACAATAGCTCTGAAAATTATGTACACAAAGTATAAAAGCACGCAAAGAGAGAAGAGTAGGTTAAATTTTTCTCAGAAACCAAACAAGCGAAATAAAATTAGAAAAGGATCAAGGATGAAAGTTGTAGACCAGAAGGAAATCGAGGTATAAGACGGGGTTCTTGGTGCCCCAAATCCTTGAGCTCACCGATCTTACCGCCACCAATGGGGGCAAAGAGGAACCTGTTCTTTCGCTGAGATTTCTTGAGACCTCTGAGAGTAGGTTGTTGAAGAAGGCGCTGGGTTTGGATCCTCTTCGTCATTGCGCTTCTTCTTCGATGACGAGGTTCGCCAGCCCCTACTATACAATTTAAATAGTTTAGCCGCGCGGCTATACTCTTTAAATATTAATATATTTAAAGGGTACAGCCGCCAGGCGCGTCTTTTTATACTCCAATATATTTAAATTTTATAGCCGCGCGGCTATACTCTTTAAATATTCCAATATATTAAAACGTATAGCCGGCCGGCTATACTCTTTAAATATTAATATATTTAAACAGAACAGCCGTGCGGCTTCTCTTTAAATATTTTAATATATTTAAAGAGTATAGCCGACGGGCTATACGCTTTAAATATATATATATATATATATATATACACATATATAAAGTACAGCCGGTCGGCTATACTAGTTTTTTTTTTCCTACTGAACCATACAGTAATATAAGGCGAAATTACAGAAGGATCACCCGGCTCGGTGGGTCATATGTATTCCTTTAGTAAAACAATAAACATGGCGTCTAGTTTACACTCTTGTTTAAATATGTACATTTCGAATCACTACCTAACACTGCTTGCTACACCAAGTGCAAAGACCACAACTATTTTGATTGGGAAGAAAAAAAGAGGGCAAAAACAGTTCATCATGCCTTCTCATCTAGCATTGGTTGAAAGCAATGACAATGCACTCCGGATCAGATTTTCCAACTTGACTCTCAAACTAGAAACAACATTGTTCAAGGTTTCCTGTGAACGCATCTCATCAAGGGGGTCATGCAGTCCATGGAGCTGCACCTCTAAAAACCGACCAAGACTTGCCTCTGCAACATTAACAAGACCAAGTGACGCATTTGTGTGCATAAATTTTGTAACAATGAGTCCTGCCAGAAGTTGCTGATCTGCCTTCACAAGCTCTGAAATAAAACAGGGGAAGAGTATTCTTCTAAAAACCAACAGCCAACTCTCATTTTCTTCTTTGCATCCACCCTTTCCTTTCTGAACAAGCGTCTCATTTTGTAACTCAGCTGCTTGAAACTTGTGGGATAAGTTGCCGACCAAATAGCAGATACAAGATAAAGTGTTTCCATAGGAAGAATTGGAGATGATAATGGGCAAAACCCCAGAGAATAATACTAGCATTAATAACTCATGGTCCCCACCAATCGAGTCGGAGATGCCTCCTTGCTTCAACTTGTCTTCAACAGCAGCCAAACATTGCAACTGTAGCGTTTCAAAAGGCAGTAGTAGCACCAGCTTTAAAGCCGTGAAACAGTCTCTTTCAAGAACAATCTGGCTCAAGCTCCTTGCGCCATCTTCATCAAGCAATATCCCATTAGATTTCAGCAAGGACAGATCAATCAGTCTTAGAACATCTTTAAACTGGGAGAGCATTACAAGTTTTTTGAAAATCTCCAACCAACATGCGTGCAAACGGTGAATGGAAAAGGAACTCTCCTTTTCTTTAACAGGAGGTTCTAATTCCTGGAAACTCTCCCATCCTTCGTCCCAGTTTTCGTTCCAGTCATTTCCAGCATCAGAAGCTTCTACAGAGGGTTTCTTATCTTCCCTCACCAAGAAAAATCCTTCCCACTCTCCTAACATGGCGAGCAAAGAACCAACATGGGAATATGATTGAGCAACATCACACAGCTTTAGGAAGCAAGAAACAGCTGTCTCTAGATTCAAGAGATCATCGGGAGCAATTTCCAAGGTGGGTGATATGGTTGCCACAAGCTGTGATGATTTGAGGGCAACTAATGTATTTGTAAACCTGTTAGGTGTATCATTATGATCAACCAACCCCTGATCAGTAGTTTCACTTTTGTTACTCGTAAAGTGCACCTCGTCCCATCCTTCCCATGGCATAACACTAGATTGTATACTAGCAGACAAACCCTTGATACTTTTACCAGTGAGGAATTGCATAAGCTCTAAAGTATAAACTCGAACTGACCCTGGTAGCTGCAAGTTATCAGAGAACTTAGCCATTCTTTCCCAAACTAGATGCCTGACCTTATCCAAATCCTCTAAATCACCTTCTAATTTACTCAAAGATGATAATAGCTTATACAAGTTCTCGTAGTCCTGCCACTCACGGACAACCACATCCTTTAAAATGTGTTCCAAAATATTTAAGTAGAGAAGGGGAAGTTCCTGGACTTCAGTGTCACCTGCCAAAGTGGAACCAGTGGGACCCCCTAATACTGCTTGAGAAAATACTTCAGCCACAGCTCCGAACCCACAACCAGAAAAAATCATGGATCTACAGAACATATATGGTTCAGAAGCAGAGTCACCAATTAAACCATGACTGACAAAGCTGACAATTGTACCCCAGCCCTGACTTGGCGAGACAGTGTCTTCTATTACCAACCTCATGAAAATCTTTAGACAACATGCTAAGCAATCCAGATTCAGCCTGAGATTTTCTCCGGCTTCCTCATGTGATGCAATGTCCTTCATCTCATCAATCAATCTTATCCAAAAGTTCAAGAGAATTATAAGACATTCTTGCCAAGCTGAGTTATCTGGTAGAGTCCCATAAGAACTCAAAAGAGGTACAATTATGGTGAAATACCGCTTCATAATGTTCAAAGAATCTACATGCGCCAAGAGTATAATATACTTTCTGCAATATTCATAGCTCTGCTCAAGTTGACATATGAAGCATTGAAGGTCCTCAGCGCTTTTGATGATTGAATCAGTTCCGGCTTTAGCCTCCAAAGGTGTCAACAAACTCAAAACATGATGCTTGTAGACATCTTGCCACATTATGAGACCCTTCGACAATGGGTCAGAATATATACTGGCAAGGCTCTCTACCATTGTTGCCAAGGCTTCCAAGCTACTTTCATATATGTGCAGGTAGACTTCATGGCTTAAGCACTTTAAGTTTAAACCACCTAAGCCAGCAATATTTTTGAAGTTTAGGTTCGCAAGAAATGAAACTCTTTTGCACTCTTGCTCCATTAACCTGTAAAAACGAGATAATCCAAAACCAGATAGATGCTCTTGATCAGGGAGTATAATTGGCAATTCTTTTCTGCTTTCTTCCAGTTGCAAGTAGCAGTCAGAGAGCAGACCAAACATGTAAGCAAGACGCAACTTGTTGCATCCATCAATTGCAGGGTATACATCGGAGGAGACAGCTTTGATGGTTTCTACAGCATAGCCAACTATTTCTCCTTTAAATTCTGAAATTTCGTAAGTAATATCATCATTGGTCCAAACCTCAGAAACAAGGACAGAACTCAGATAACGTAGAAAGACCTGCAAGGAAACAGTAGAACACTATCACCCCCCATGGGCAAAAAATTTATCTTCTATATTAAAGTTTTCAGAGATATATGCCTATGAAGCTGCCTACCTCTGCACGGTTCAAGCCATAATCATCAGCTAATTTTAAAACGTCCTTCAAAATGTGCTTCTTCTCTAACTTTACTGAATCAATCAGGGGAAAAACAACACTTCCAATGTAATTAAAGTCCCGAGACGAAAAGCGTGCAGTGTCAACACCGGGGATTATTTTCTCTAATGCTCTACAGCGATCTGCAACACGCTTTTGGTCTTCTAATTTCAGTTTCCATTCTCTCCAAAAGGTAGACTGTACCTTGTCAAATTTGTTTATTTCATCTGAAAGCAATATAATAACATAAGAAACCATTAAGTAACACCATATCATGGAAAAGGTGTTGAACAAAAAGGTGAAGGACATGATAAAAAGTATATTCGGCACATATATGGTAATTAATGGAGCTGCAAAATGATAGCATAGCAGATTGCAAATAAGTATAGAAAATCACCAGTACTAGGTGGTGTGTGCTTTTCTTTAAACTTCCTCAGTAGCAGCTCCCTCCTTTCCATAGGACCTTCACACTCAATTGCTGAACTATATAACAAGCTATATGTCATCCCCACATTCATGATGCTAGAAATTTCTTGGTAATCCTTCCTTGTTCTAAGCTGCTCTTCAATGACTTCAACCCCATTAAAGGCATCCCCCAGATTCAAGAGAAAGGAGCAACCCACTATATCTTCCTCTTCGGTAACAGGTGGTTCAATAATTGATTTTGCCAAAGACGCAACCGCATGGTCTGTAGGAGCAAAACCATTTCTTGCCAACCAGGACAGAATGGTCACTAAAGCTTGTGTTCTTACACTCACATATTGCTTTCCAGGAATCAAGTTACCAATTGATTTCTTACTGTGTTCTGTATTCCTACTTAGTTGAAGCAACCATGGAAGTTGTAGGGCAGCAAAAGACAAAAGTTTTCCATTTTCTCTCAAAACAGATTCCCAACTGGTTCCATTCACAACAGGCAAATTTTTAGCAACAACAGAAAGTAAATTTTTAATGTTACTAAGATGAACTTCTTGATCGTCACAACTAGCTCCTTCAACCATTTCCAAGCAACCTTTTAGGTTGATTATATCTTGAATACCATGGACTGGACCTGTAATAACTGAGGAGCCTTGAATTGAAAAATTTGGACACTCTGTCCCTGTCAACATCATTAATGTCTCACATTGACCTTGCAAATCTAGATCTTTCCA